GAGAACCAATTCGATAACCTCTCAGGTTATTCTGAGGATTCTGGCAATGCCGATTCTCATCACAGCCAAATCACCATTTCGGTCTCACGACTGCAGTTTCGATGTTCCGTTGCTCGGACTGCATGTTGTGTCCTCTGTCCATTGCCATGGAAGCAGACGGAAAAGTTTTTACATATACATATCTATCTTTGTTTATATCTTTTACTACACACTTGTTTCCCCTAAGCGCTAGCTTACCAACCCCTATCAACTGTATTACACTTACAGCATGACTCCCAAGTCCTCTGACCGCAAGTCAGAGAACCAATTCGATAACCTCTCGGGTTATTCTGAGGATTCTGGCAATGCCGATTCTCATCAAATGATACTTTTATTGAAGCATACGTGTGGTGGCCATCTAGATCAAATCATATCGCAAAATTAAGTGCTGAGGGTGGCTTTACAAAGAAGCAATCTTGCGGCGGTCAGAGAACCCATCTGCTCCACAGCAATTGAGCAATAGCCTACAGTACCTTGATCGCTCCCAGCAACGTAAAGATCCCACTGATCGTTCAGTTGATACGCGTCGATCTTAATGTTCACTGCATTTGGCAAATTGAACGTAAATGTTTCAAGGACGTTATCGGTGGGACCCTTGGGTGTCACAATTGCACTAGGGTTTTTCTCCAAATCCAAAGTGTTCCAGTCTTCGTTGTTGTCATAAGCGTAGAAAGTGGCGTAGCCATTGTTTGGGATTGATGGTGTATCAAAGCCTTTGATGCTTTTGCGAAGGATGCCACGCAAAATGCCACCAATGATAGGACCTAAACCCGCTTCAGCGTTGCGCTTCCATTTGGGGCGGCTTTAGTTTTCGATTTCGTGTAACAAATCCCGCTTCAACACGGAGCTGCCATCCAGCGTGAAGATCGCAGTCCAATGATCGGTGTTTTCAGCGGTGGCTGCAGTGAAGAGTAACGCCGTAATGAGCAAGGTATTCACTTGAAGGAATCGAGCTAAGGAGACCATTGTGCAACTTAGGTATTAATGTCTGAATCGTTCCAATATTATACCGCAGTGTAAATGTTCGGTAACGTCGAGAACTTCGCGTTCCCGGAAATGATAAGCAAAAAATAAAATACGAAAATTCATGGATTTATAGTGGTTATACAACCTGTGTTTCGCGTATAGCAGTGATTTATTTGTGGAATTCTTCATATAGCCATAATCACACAGTCTCCACGCAAGCCTCGACTTCGCAAAGACACTTGATCGGCAATGGTGCGTCAGACGACACAAACAGAAACAGAAAATAGTCCAGATCCCTCGTGGGGCTTCGCGAATTTTAGGTTTGTGTATTATTATCACTTGCAATGCGCTCGCGTAGCCGATGTAGGTACCCATCGCGTCTTGCAGATCCTAAAATACGAACATAAACACGTTGTTTTAGACTGACCCACAAAGGCGTATCTTCCATAGCATTGAAACATTAACTAATTTAGTTTGGTCCACTACTGCATCAGTTTGGTTTATCACATAGTGGACACGGCGATGTACTCGCAGAGGATAGTTTACGCGCCCGTGACGTCCAGTTGACTTACGTATTTACATTACACGGGGAATTCTGCGCGAAAATACGAGAGGGGCACCGCGACGCGCCAATGGGTCTAGAAGAATGTCTAGCGGCAGGTACGAGGTCGACGACACGCCGCTTGATTTCTGTATCCCCAACATTTATTATCATGCGGCGTTATTGAGCCACGCGACGACGCCCTCAAGAATGCCCACCATCACTGCGATGACGTCATCATCAGCCCATGCTATGGCAAACATAGCTTAGCATTCACTGGCAAAATCCAACCTCGCAATAGCATGATTTTCCATCTAGTTGTAGACATTGAAAACAAAGGAAGTCTTGAGCCTGGAGTTTCCTCCAGCAACCTGGAAGCGTACTGACCATCTACAAACGCCGCCTGTTTTGTGTACATCGATCCCTTAATCAGGGCTACGACAATGGCCAGTCTAAGTAAGAATGAATGACGTCATGAGCTCGATCCCTTAAATCCACCCTTCCCGTGCCGATGAACCCCTCCCCCCCATATCCCTATTTACTGTCCACGTTGCTTCTGGCTTATCGCGGGAAATACCAAGCGATACCAACAACAATGGAATCCATCCCCTGCAACCAACAATAAACCCAATGAAGCCCATCGCACAAATCCCGGAACAATGCCCGAGATACTCGAATGTACTGATATCAGGGGCCCCCTAATCAATGAAATGACACGATTTGCCTTACCCCCTCGGCCCCACCAGTCCGTCTTCTACTCAAATGACTCGTCACATCAGCTACTATGTGCAATAGCAAGCAATTAAGTTTTGTACCGGGTCGTCCGGGTTACCGTGACCGTTGCCCCTCCCCCAGAAGATGACCATTTACGAGCCATGGGCCAGAAAGAGAAAACCCTCGAGGCACACAGGCGTCCGATGCGTAGATTGCGCGATCGAGACCGCCCCTCACTTGCCCCCCCCCACGATTCGGAGGCTTCGGTCACAACTATAGTAAGTGGGTGATGATTAGTCAGCACTGAGTCAGTGCGAAAAAAGAAGATGAGATCGCTACCAAAAAAAAACGCGACTGTATTTACCCATCCAGGCGCGGGCCGCCCGTTACAATTCATCCCCACAAAACAACCACTTCCAACACTCCAATTACCACAATTACGGCCAAAAATGAGTGACAAGGAGTATCACAGCCGCACCAAAGTGTACGGCGGCCCCTACCTGCTCGTGTACCGCGCGTTGGACGGCGGCGACCGCCCCGTGGCGCTTAAAGTGGTCGACACCGATTTCCGCCTCCCGCCACACCTGATTGACAACGAAATCAAGCTTGTAAAGCAATTGCAGCATCCTGGCATCATCCATTACGTCACTGACTACCGAGACGGCGACGACCGGGTGCTCGTCACGTCTTTCTACCCATATACCTTAACCCGCTACCTTGATGTGACTAGCCGGCGCACGACCAAGTTCGACTTGGCGTCACCTGACGCCGCTGCCCCACCGACAGTGACCAAACGCAGTACGGTTACCAGCGAGTGGGGCACCACCACGCTCATCCAACTAGCCGACGCGCTCGCCTATCTCCACTCCCAAGGCGTGATCCACCGCGATCTCAAACCCGATAATATCTACTTCAGCGACCAACTGGGCCAGAACCCGGTGATTGGCGATTTCGGCATCCTGTGGCAACTGGGAATTAGTGAACCCGCCGACGATAAAGTGCTTGACATCAGCACTGGCATCTATAAGCCGATCGAGTGCTGTTTTGGCTATAACTGCTATGGGACCGAAGTAGATATCTGGCTGCTCGCGATGGTGATGCTGGTGGTTTTCGCCACTACTTCGAATAAACTGGTATTTGACGGGGGTAACGATATCCAGCTTATCCTGAGTGTATTCCACCATTTGGGAACGCCATACCTCGAGCCCGACGCCGAGCGCGCCCCTCAGTGCTTTTGGCCGACGATGGCCAATCCGCGCTACCATTTGGTCCAGTTTACCCTCACGCCGCTGCCCCGCCAGCCCATGCCGCTGCTATTCCCTCGGTGCACCAATTCAGCAGTGCTAGACGTTCTAGACGACATGCTCAGCTACGAGGGTTCGCAGCGGCCCACTGCCGCCGCCATTGTCCGGCGATTGCGGCCACTGGCGTCTCGCTAACCGACGACGCACCGAAACACGCAGTCCCGCGGTGACGTCAGGGCGATTGCCACTCAAAAAAAGAGAGACCTGCGCGCCTGACCCCGGACAGATCTGCCCGTCGCCATCATTGGTCTCCTACCCCACCCCCACCCTAACTTAAGCTAGCTACAAACAAACCGCCTGCTGCGGAACTACCTAAACGGAACTACCTAAACGTATGTGGAAACACGTTTCTCTCTCTGCCCTTGCTCTCGCTTTATCTGGTGGTTTATCTCTGGTTTTGTCCCTCTGTGTCGCTGTTCTTTGTCTTCTTGGTAAACCAGTGGCGTCAGCCTCGCTACCGTTTCAGGTGGCATTGTCCCCGTTCCCCTCTGGCGTCCGTCGCTGGCTCCGAATGGTGCGCACGTCACGCCAGGCACTCACGCCGACGTCCCTCGACTCCCTGTATCACCACTGCCTACCACACCACCACCTTCCCGGCTCTAGACCGAACCACTGCCGTGTCTGCTTCCATTATGACTATCTGCTGATAACACAACAATAGCCTCTCCTTGCCCCCAGCGGTTGTGGTTACCCCCGGTGGTGCTACCTATCGCGAGTCTGGGGAAGGCCGCGGGACGTACGTGAAAAAGAAACGCGGGACGTGCGCCGCCCACATCACTAAAACCGCCCGTACCCCACTTGTCATGTGGGTGGCCCTCGCCGGGGTGCAGGAGCAAACCTCCTACATCTACCTCCCCCAGCCCACGCCGATCTCCACCGACTCATCCTCTTCAGAAGCGTTTACCCTCCGTTAGTTGTCTGATGAAGGACGAGAACTTTATCCGCAAGGCCGACTACGCCATGCTCGAGCAGCGGTACGGCCTTTGCAAGTACTACCCGTGCTACGTCCACAACCCGCTGATTCTGACCCCCGTGCTCAAGGACTTGATCATCGACAAACCGCTTTACGCCGATGCTAACCGCCGCAAGAAGAAGCGCCAGGAGCTTGCCCGCGAGCGCCAGATGATGGAGAAGCTCGAGATGATCAAGATCGAGGAGCGCCAGCGGGACCGCGACCGCCAGCGGGCGTTGCAGAAGCAGGAACACCCACAGGGGCTCGAGTTCCGCAACCCGTTTGGCGACGGCAAGCTCCAGGTGATGCTGGAGAACCCTGCCACCGACGGCCTGGCGGAGCTGGCGCTGCTGAGCCATCCGCGCCTGCTGCTGGTATTCTCGAAGCGGCACCACCTGATCGCGCTGCGGTTCATCTCGTTCGTCAGAGGGCCCTCTGACGGCGACGAAGTGACGCCGCCCAGCCTGCTGGGCCTGCCGCTGGGACTAGAAATTACGGAATCTGGCAATGGGCCCACGCTACCGCTTTTGAGGCGGTCGAAGCTGTTTGACCAGACGAAACTGGCGCAAACGCTGTCGCGAATGAAGGGGGTGTTCAAGAAGAAATTGGGCAAGATCGGTAAGTATCATTTTTTACTAACAACTAAGGCTAACCACTCAGCACTATGGATATATCGGGCAAATATGGTTACGCAGCCCTGGACAGCGGGCGACGACCCGAGTCTAGTGTTGTCGATGGCAACAGCAGGCTTTCAGAGAATTGGGGAATTTTTTTCGGTTGCGCAGCCCTGGTCATTGTTCGCGAGCTTGCGCCTGCACCCACGCCCCCCCCCCCCCCCCCAC